ACAGGAAAAAAACCATGCCACATATAAACTAAATAATATAGATCTTAATACTACTGCTTGCGGAAAGGATTTAGGAGTTCTGGTTAGCAGTAATCTAAAACCAGGACAACAGTGCATTAGTGTTCGCAATAAAGCTAACAGAATACTTGGCTTCATATCTAGAAGTATAAATAATAGAAGTCCTCAGGTTGTTCTTCAACTCTATATATACTTGGTAAGGCCTCATTTAGACTATGCTGCTCAGTTCTGGTCACCGTATTACAGAATGAATATAAATGCTCTGGAAAACGTACAAAGGAGGATGACAAAGATGATCCCATGTATCAGAAATCTTCCCTATGAGGATAGACTGAGGGGCCTGAATCTACACTCTCTGGAAAGGCGTAGAATTAGGGGGGATATGATCGAGGTGTATAAATGGAAAACAGGAATAAATACAGGGATGTAAATAGTGTGCTGAAAATTTCCAGCCAAGACAGGACTCGCAGCAATGGTTTCAAGTTGGAAAAATTCAGATTGAGGAAGGATATAGGAAAGCTCTGGTTTGGTAATAGAGTTGTGGATGAGTTGAACAAACTCTCGAGTACCGTTATTGAGGCTAAAACGTTGTGTAGTTTTAAAAATAGATTAGATAAATACATGAGTGGGTGTGGGTGGGTGTGAGTTGGACCTAACTAGCTTGTGCTACTAGGTCTGGTGCCGTGCTCCTTCCTTGAGTGGAGGTGACCAGACTAGGTGGGTCATTGGGCTACTCCGAGGAGGGGACATGGACCTGCTCCGCATGGGTCAGTAGGCCTGCTGCAGCGTTCCTTCTTATGTTCTATGGTTATAGAACATAACAAAGCTCTATGGGTATAGAACATAACAAAGCTCTATGGTTATAGAACATAAAGATCTATGGTTATAGAACATAAAGCTCTATGGTTATAGAACATAAAGCTCTATGGTTATAGAACATAAAGCTCTATGGTTATAGAACATAAAGCTCTATGGTTATAGAACATAAAGCTCTATGGTTATAGAACATAACAAAGCTCTGTGGTTATAGAACATAACAAAGCTCTGTGGTTATAGAACATAACAAAGCTCTGTGGTTATAGAACATAACAAAGCTCTGTGGTTATAGAACATAACAAAGCTCTGTGGTTGTAGAACATAACAAAGCTCTGTGGTTGTAGAACATAACAAAGCTCTGTGGTTATAGAACATAACAAAGCTCTGTGGTTGTAGAACATAACAAAGCTCTGTGGTTGTAGAACATAACAAAGCATTATTTTATATTATGATGTTCTATCCCAACTTATTCTTAAATCACAGGAGGGATTTTAAGAATGTGGAGAGGGAAAGAGTAGGGCAGGACTGAACAGTAAAAATGATTATGGATAGACACGATGAGAGAGAGAGAGAGAGAGAGAGAGAGAGAGAGAGAGAGAAGAGAGAGAGAGAGAGGAGAGAGAGAGAGAGAGAGAGAGAGAGAGAGAGAGAGAGAGAGAGAGACAGAGAGAGAGAGAGAGAGAAAGAGAGACAGGGAGAGAGGTGTAAGAAAGGGTAAGTGGTCTGACTACTTTGGGTGAGTTTTTGTCTTATAATAACGAGTGCCATCACTTGTCTTACAAAGAAATGTTAGTTAACATTTTTATATGTACGAGATCCAGCCACATTACAATGAAGACTCTTCCCTTATTTTCCTTCAGTTTACAATATCCTGACGAAGCTTATAGAGTGAAATATTCATTGTCAAATGTGTTTTCTATCCTACGTGATGTTATATTTATAAAAGTTGTTAAAGGATCACAGAGGAAATCGACGTCAATGCACAAATGATAAACGTCATTTAAGTAACTTGGAGGTCGTAACACTGGCAGTTATGTAGGTAACGTCATTTAAGTAACTTGGAGGTCGTAACACTGGCAGTTATATAGGTAACGTCATTTAAGTAACTTGGAGGACGTAACACTGACAGTTATGTAGTACGTCATTTAAAGTAACTTGAGGTCGTAACACTGACAGTTATGTAGTAACGTCATTAAGAACTTGAGGACGTAACACTAACAGTTATGTAGGTAACGTCATTTAAGTAACTTTGAGGTCGTAACACTGACAGTTATGAGGTAAACTCATTTAAGTAACTTGTGTGACGTAACCTACAGTTATGTAGTAACGCATTTAAGTAACTTGGAGGTCGTAACACTGGCAGTTATATAGGTAACGTCATTTAAGTAACTTGGAGGACGTAACACTGACAGTTATGTAGGTAACGTCATTTAAGTAACTTGGAGGACGTAACACTGACAGTTATGTAGGTAACATCATTTAAGTAACTTGGAGGACGTAACACTGACAGTTATGTAGGTAACGTCATTTAAGTAACTTGGAGGACGTAACACTGACAGTTATGTAGGTAACATCATTTAAGTAACTTGGAGGACGTAACACTGACAGTTATGTAGGTAACGTCATTTAAGTAACTTGGAGGACGTAACACTGACAGTTATGTAGGTAACTCATTTAAGTAACTTGGAGGACGTAACACTGACAGTTATGTAGGTAACGTCATTTAAGTAACTTGGGGGTCGTAACACTGACAGTTATGTAGGTAACGTCATTTAAGTAACTTGGAGGACGTAACACTGACAGTTATGTAGGTAACGTCATTTAAGTAACTTGGAGGACGTAACACTGACAGTTATGTAGGTAACGTCATTTAAGTAACTTGGGGGTCGTAACACTGACAGTTATGTAGGTAACGCCATTTAAGTAACTTGGAGGACGTAACACTGACAGTTATGTAGGTAACGTCATTTAAGTAACTTGGAGGTCGTAACACTGACAGTTATGTAGGTAACGTCATTTAAGTAACTTGGAGGTCGTAACACTGACAGTTATGTAGGTAACGTCATTTAAGTAACTTGGAGGACGTAACACTAACAGTTATGTAGGTAACGTCATTTAAGTAACTTGGAGGTCGTAACACTGACAGTTATGTAGGTAACGTCATTTAAGTAACTTGGAGGTCGTAACACTGACAGTTATGTAGGTAACGTCATTTAAGTAACTTGGAGGACGTAACACTAACAGTTATGTAGGTAACGTCATTTAAGTAACTTTGAGGTCGTAACACTGACAGTTATGTAGGTAACGTCATTTAAGTAACTTGGAGGACGTAACACTAACAGTTATGTAGGTAACGTCATTTAAGTAACTTGGAGGTCGTAACACTGACAGTTATGTAGGTAACACACAGGAATGAAGAACAAAGCTTTTTATATTTGGATTGTTCATATGAGGGTTTGTTGTACACGCTTGTGCTGTCCATTTCACATAAATACAATAAACGATGTTGATAAGCTATAAAAAAAAAGTCAGCATCAAACAAAACAGAAAACTTTCACTTAAAAGTAATAACCATTTTGACAAATCTGAGCTAAAGCTCATTTTGTAGAACCTAATTAACTCATCCACTGTAAACAGGAATTAGACGACGCTTTGGTCAGTCTAGGATGATTTTCAAGTCACGAGTGATGATGGTTCTTGACAGTTCGAAACGCCATTTAATTTCTATTTCCGATCTGTGGATTAGTTGTAAACTGTTGGTTCCCTGGCACTGTGACTTTCACTCTTCAGACAACAAAAGTCTTGTGTTGGTGACGTGACATTATTGTGTGTAAGTGTGTGTGACAGCTAGCTGGTGTAAAGTTGTGCTTACACTTATATAAAAACATAACTCCACTCACCTGTAAAGGAATAGGATAGACTTGGTATTTCTTCATGAAATACGTGACTGTAATAGTATGTTACGGGGCTTCAATTTCCCCAGCGGTCATATATTGGGAAGATTTCATTTTCCTATATTTCGTCATCTGACGTCTCTCTTTTATCTGTTCTGAATGGGCTGATTATTATTATAATAATGGGGAGCGCTAAACCCGTAGGATTATACAGCGCAAGTGGGGGGAATGGGAGGCATTCAGGCTCAATTCAGGGAACTGGAGCACAGATCCAATTCCCTAGATCAAGAGCCCCTCACCAGCGTCAAGGAACCTCCCTTGAGAGGCTGAATGGGCTGAGAGGTTAATTCTTTTCATGCTGCAAGTATACTTTGCATAACAAGGGTTGTAGTGTAGTTTATACATGTCAGTTAATCCTATGTCAACTGTGTACTGCGCTATACTTCACAGAAATAATGTTGTTTATTTTGCACCGGAATATTCCTTTATTCTGTTTGTCTAAGGTTTCACACAATGTTCTATATTTCATTACTGGTATTTAACTTCATTCTCAAAGTCCTCAGTTCGTGGCCTTGTCAGCCATAGTCTAGTTGAAGAATGCCTGAAGACGATTTCGGCGGATAACCGCCTCTGCGGACCGGTCCCAGACCAGAGCTCCAGCTTGATAGCCTGATCAATCAGGCTGTTAGTGATATGTTCACGGACGCCAACGTATGCACCACAGTCCGATGTGAAGAATTTATGAATTTTTTTTTTCATGGAAACAGCTAGAGGTTTATCTGTGAAAGGAGTATTGAAATCTCTTGATCCCTTCAAACATACTGAGATATCACTAAGTGTACTCACAACACCTCTATATTTCACCAGGGGTATTTTGCATTGTCTGTCGAGAGAGACGGGAATGGCTTATTTGTGTACATAAAGATGTATTATCCTGGACCTAATCATCCACTGAGAACCTTATCTACCCACAGAAGTGTTGGTTCCACCGAGAAAGTAGCACAAATCCTCTGGTCACCTACTATGCCTTAAGGAAAGTCAGCTTTTTTCCTTCAGTGAATAACCTGACGTGGCAGAGGCATCATTGTGTAGCTATTAGACCATATTTATTTTTTTCCAGGATGTTATTATTTTTTCATCTTGCTTCTCTTCGGGGAATAGTTCAACAACTGACATTTTATCCTGATTTCGGTATAATTATATAATCTTGCTCTAGTATTGATGTCTGTATAATGCGTATTTCAATGAGTACTAAAGTATGATGAAATAAGT